CCAGCCCCTGTGCTGCAGGTGGGGCCTTCTGCTTTTGCTTTTCTCTGCACCTTCCAGATTCCTCCCGAGCCTCCAAATGGGAAGATTCCCCCTTCTCTGTCCTTATCTGCAAGGTGAAAGGAGGGAAAAATTGTCTCCTGCCTCGGGGAAGATAAGTCACGTTGGCCTCTCCTTCTTTAGAAAACTCTGTAATGCCATTTATCAATTAATTACTGGGTTGCATTTCTGCCCATTAATTCCCCCTGCTGTCTCTGAGTTTTGGGAAGGTCTGTGATGCTCAGGCTCTAATTGTCCTGTCCTCACCCTGCTTTCTTCCTCATTTTCAAGTTAAGTGGATACCAGAGCCTTCTGTATCTGCTCCTTTATTTCCCCTGCAGATTTCTCTGCCCCCCTTCTCCTCCCCCCTCGTGTTCCAAAAGGATTTCACTGGGTTTGGGGGAGTGGATTAAACTGTGTGGCCCAGGCTTGAAATCCTAATTCTGCTCAGGAATCAATTGTTGTGGAGTCAGGAAAACATTTTCACTTGGAACTTTTTACACTGCCAGATCCACTTGCAGGTCACCTGCAACACGCTGTGGTTTTATATCAATCTCAGTCCCTTGTTTGTGTTGAAATAACCAAACCAGACAATTTTGAAAAAGAAAAGCTTCAATTTACCTTCTCCCCCCAAAAAAATAATTTGATGTCTCTGTTTGAAACAATATTTCCCTTGTTTCACTTCAGCTTAAAACACAGAAGTGTTTATTTTAAATGGGAAGAAGTTGCCATGTAAACAAAATGGGTTTATTTTGTTCCAATGATTTGCCAGTGAAAAATGGAAAAGTATAGCTTTGGGTTGGGTCCAAAGGAAGGCTTTCCTTCAGTTCAATCACTTAATCACAGAGCACAGGGTCCCCATCCCTGCCTGGTGGGGATTTCCTGGTCCCTTCCAGGACAGCCAGATGTGCACAGCTGGGCAGGGACAGGCCCTGGGGAAGGAGCTCGGTGTCCCAGGGTCCTCTCCCTGGTGCTGGGGGATTCTGGAGGACACCACACCGAGAGCCACTCCGGAGGGAATCCTTCTCAAACCCCTCAGCTCTGGCCAGAGAGAAAAGGAGAATTTTCTGCAGCGTCCAGCTCGATCCCCCTGGTTCCCACTGAGCTGAGCTTGGGGCACGGGGTGGGGATGTTGGGGTGTCCTGGGCAGGAGCTCAGATGTTCCAGAACATTCCAGGATCCTCAGGGGTGCATCTGCAGGGCTGTTGGGGTGTCCTGGGCAGGAGCTCAGACGTTCCAGAACATTCCAGGATCCTCAGGGTGCATCTGCAGGGCTGTTGGGGTGTCCTGGGCAGGAGCTCAGACGTTCCAGAACATTCCAGGATCCTCAGGGTGCATCTGCAGGGCACAGCCTGGCATTGCCCAGGCTGCTGGGGCAGAAGCCCTGCGAGTTCTGCAGCCCCGAGATGTTCACCCCCAGTCCTGTCACCCCTCTTTGCTCCCTCCTCAAATTTCTCACCTGCCTTCCCTTCTGCAAAGCCTTCTCTCCTCCAGGCTGCTCCTTTCCCTCTTGCACAGGAGGATTCCTTTGCTCCCCTCCCAGCCTGGCTGCACCAGCAGTTCCCTCTGCACTTCCCAGCCCCTGCCTGGCTGGTTCCTCCCCGATGGGAATATTTCCCTCCATGGATGGAGACCCTCAGAACACTCACAGCTTCCCATAAATGTCACCCATAAAAAATGTTATTTTTTATTTTGAAGAGGCTGATTTGATGTGGAACTGAGGCTGGTCCTTGCCTCTGGGCCTCCTCACAAGTGAGGGAGTTTCTGCTTGCACTCCAGTCCTTTGTGGGAAGCAGGTCCTGTGGATGTGGCTGAGCTGGGAGAGTTTCTCTGTTTGAGCAGGGAAAACAAACCCACGGTGTCTGTTCTGCTTTTCCTGCAGTCGGGGGAGGTGTGAGGAAAGGAAAGGAAAGGAAAGGAAAGGAAAGGAAAGGAAAGGAAAGGAAAGGAAAGGAAAGGAAAGGAAAGGAAAGGAAAGGAAAGAAAGGAAAGGAAAGGAAAGGAAAGGAAAGGAAAGGAAAGGGAAAGGAAAGGGTGTTAATTGGTTCCTCCAGCTGGAGACTGAGAAGCGAGGGAACCCTGGCAGGATGTGGCTGGAAAGGAGCCACAGAGAGCCCCGAGATCTCCTCGGCTTCTCCTGCCAGGGTGGAACAAAGAGTGGACACAGCACAGAAATCCAGGTGTCACCCCCAGAACATTCATTTCCTTCTGGTGTGGCAGGATGTTTGAGAAATGGTGGGATGCAACTCAGGATCAAATTGAGGAGGATAAAGGGAGATTATCCCTGGATTTTCTTTATTCCCTGCCTCCCTGGGGTGCCACGGTGGCAGAAGAAGGGACAGAGGCCAAGCTGGGAGGGAGGAGGGAAAGATGAATCTGGCTGGGACAAATTCATGCAGCTGGACCATGGGATGGATAGAGGAAAACCTGGCCTTTAAAACCCAGATCCGTAGGGAACCACAAGTCCCTGGAATATGGAGGTTAGGAACCTCTGGCAGACACAGAGAGGCGTGGAGAGAAACCTGTGGGGAAAACTGTGGAAGGAGAAGAGTAAAGAGCAACGTGGAATTGGTTGGAAAATCCCTCTGAGCCAAACATCGAGTCCAGTGATTCCTCAGTAACCCAGAACTGCCCCTCGTCCCCAGCTGCCACCTCCAAGGGCTTTGAAATCACCCCAGGGATGGGCACTCCACTCCACCCCTGCCTTTCCATGCAGGAATATTCCAAATATCCACCCTGAGCTCCCCTGAGGCCGTTCCCTCTCCTCCTGTCCCTGTTCCCTGGAGCAGATCCCAAATCCCCCCCGGCTGTCCCCTCCTGCCAGGGACTTGTGCAGAGCCAGAAATTCCCCCTGAGCCTCCTTTGCTCCAGCCTGAGCCCCTTCCCAGCTCCCTCAGCAATTCTCCAGCCCCTTCCCAGCTCCCTCAGCAATTCTCCAGCCCCTTCCCAGCTCCCTCAGCAATTCTCCAGCCCCTTCCCAGCTCTGTTCCCTTCCCTGGGCTCGCTCCAGCCCCTCAGGATCTTTCCCAAACCCGGCTGGCTGGGCCTGATCCCTGCTTGTCCCTGTCCATCCCAAGGGATGTGGTCCTGTGTGATCTCTGAGCAGATGAGGTGTGGAACGAGCAGCAGCATTAGGGTTCCACACATTGAAGGCTTAGCAGAGCCCCTTTACTGAGTGGGGGGACAGGAGCTTAAAGAAATCACCTGGAAGGCTGGAAGGGACTGGGATTCTGCTCTGCCTTGCTCGGAGCAGGAGATTCCCGGTGTGTGGGCAGGGAAATGCTGTTTATGGAGCAGGAACTCTTCCAGCGAGGCTGGGGGCTGCGGGGGAAGAGGGAAAGGCTCCTGGGGAAGGAGCCAGTGGGAGATGGAGGAGCAGGTTGGTGAGGGGGGTCCTGGCCCCAGGAGAGCTCAGGCCCTGCACAGGTGGGATGAGGAGCCACCGTCCCAGACTGCCCAGGGGATCATGGAATCAAAGAGTGGATTGGAAGGGACCTCAGAGCCCAGCCAGTCCCACCCCCTGCCATGGGCAGAGGCACCTTCTGCCATCCCAGGTTTGCCCCAGCCCCGTCCAGCCTGGCCTGGGACATTTCCAGGGATGGGGAGCCCATCCCTGGTGTTTCCTGCGTGCAGCTGGGGCTGGTGTCACCTGAGGAATCCCCACCTGCTCGGGCACAGATGTCCAGCCTGGAGGGGTGGGAAGGGTGGTGGACACCACACAGATTTCCAGCCAGGGTGTTAAACAGACCCCTGAGCCCCAAATCCCGAGTGCCTCCGTCCCCCTCTATCACAGCCCGGCCCCAGGCTGGCTGTGATCCCAACTTCCCCAGCCAGTGCCCCCAGAACAGGATTTAAGGGGATAAAGGATGTTTGTTTTCCTTGGGAAGCTGCACGGACCAACCTTTGCCAGGTTGATGCAGGCTGCCCTCACCCAGCCTCTCCACCTGGACTTTTTCTTTTCCAGACCCTGGACCAATGGTTCCTCCTCCCCTCCCTGTGGGGAGCCCAGAGAGCAGAATCCATCCCTCGTGCTCGTCCTTTCCAGCCGTGGTTTGCAGCCACAGCTGGTGCCCTCTTCAGTGCACAAAGCTCTGCTCTCTTCTCTCTTCTCCCCCTTCTCCCTCCCTCCCTGACCCTCCTGCTGCTCTGGCCCTCTGCTGATGCCAGCCCAGCTCCCGACAGTGCAGGGCTTGCTGAAGTGGCCCTGGCGAGGGAAGGGCACAGTCGGGGCTGTCCCAGGACAGGCAGGGCCGGGAAGGACGGGAGGAAGGATGGGATGAGGTTTGTAAGCCCAGGGCTGCTCTGGAGGGGTTTGTTCTGCCTGGGAACGTGCTGGCTGTGCTCCTCCAGGCCTGGGTTTGCTGCTGGAGGCTCCCGGGCTGTCTGACCCTGCCCGGTTTGCCCGAGCTCCCCGGGGAGATGCTGCGGCTGTGGGGTCCCCATGGCTGGGCCAGGGAATGGCCAAGAGTCCTCCTGGGATGGCTGAACTTCCATCAGCTCCAGCCACCGACACAAACCCCTCTGACCCCGGCCCTGCTGCCATTCCCCGCTCCCTGGGGCTGCCTCTGCAATTCCAGCAAGGTGGAACGGGAGGTGTGATGGGAGAGGAGCCAATGTGTAATTGGGATTAATCTCCTGCACTCAAGGAAGCAACAAAACATCTCGGCGTGTCTGTGTAGTCAAAACACAGGCACATCATTGCTCTGCTGCTCGGGAACAATAAAGATGCAAATAAAGTCAACAGCTCCCGGCTTTGGATGCTGCGGAGAGGTTTATTGTGTTCTGATTGCTTTGGAAAGAATCCACGGGATCTGCTGCTTCGGGATGTGGAGTGAACTGGGATGGGAACAGGAGCTGAACTGGGATGGGAACAGGAGCTGAACTGGGATGGGAACAGGAGCTGAACTGGGATGGGAACAGGAGCTGAACTGGGATGGGAACAGGAGCTGAACTGGGATGGGGAGATGGAGGAGCTGTACAGGAATGAGGAGCTGAAATGGGATGGGAAGGAGGAGCTGTACAGGAATGAGGAGCTGAAATGGGATGGGAATGAGGAGCTGAACTGGAATGAGAAGGAGGAGCAGAACTGGAATGGGAATGAGGAGCTGTACAGGAATGAGGAGCTGAAATGGGATGGGAATGAGGAGCTGAAATGGGATGGGAATGAGGAGCTGTACAGGAATGGGAAGGAGGAGCAGGGTCCCTGCACCCCCAGCCCCAGGGGATGCTCCCCCACAGGCAGAGCCAGACACGAGGTGCTGGGGCTCTGTGCTGGACCGAGGGGTGATCCTGAAGGGAATGTGCTCAGTCCATCCCCAGGCTCCGTGTGGAGCTGACCCAGGACTGCCAGCACCTGAGCTTTGTCTTTCACTGCCGAGGGATTTCTGGAGCCGATTTCTCTCTGGCAATGCTGGGGACAGGCTTTGGGCACTGGGAGGGAACCGTGGGGTGAGCTGTGAGGGCACGGCCGGGCTGAGGGTGGGCACAAGGGCAACCAGACCGACTTTCATCTGCCAGGGACACAGAGAGGCAGATTCCTGTCTGTGCACTGCCTCACATCCATCCCTGACCGGCTCTGTCCCACTGGGATCAGCGGGCCAGGGCAGGAGGGATGTGCTGGACGGGGATGCCGGAGGTCAGAGGCACAGAGCTGGAGGTCACAGGAGCTTTGAACAGCCCAGAGCTTCCAGCCTGGCTGAAATGAGTGAGGGCCCTGGGGAGAATCCCCGATGTCTCTGAAGCCAATGAGTCTCCATGCCTTGTTGGGCCCACCTGAAAACAGAGGCCAGACAAAATTTACTGAGGGGCCTCAGGGACATTTCAGGCAGACAAAGCATCCCCCAGGGGCTGCAGCCAAAAATGGACCACGGGTCACGGGTTCCACACTTAATCCTCCAATTCCAGCTGCAGGGAATGAAGGAATTTACCCCAAATCTGCTCCCACAGCTCCCTTTTGTTTCCATCTCTGGGGCCTGAGGCAGGGAGGTGTCCCCAGCTGCCAGGCCTGGAGAGGAATTGCTGTGTCTGCCCAAAGAGGGGAAGCAGCAGCTCACTGTTACAGTTACATTTTATATTGTTGGCTTTTCACAAATATTAAAATGAATGTTATGGGTATAAGAATGGGAAATTCTGTTGTATTAACACAGTTTCCTTTATTTCTGTTAGAAATAGTGGTATAATACAGATATGTTAAGGTATTACATAGCATTAAAACAAAAAGTACTTTTGTCTGTATAACCCAAAGACTGAAAAAGATAACTAGAGACCCCCCTGCATTCATAAACTCTCTTACCCAGATGAAGACAGCAGTGCCCAGAACTCTGGGGGAGGAATTTATTGCATTTCTGGTATCAGAGAATGTAAATCTCGATGGTGCCAAGAGAATTGATCTATTGGGAAGGGGGCAAGAGAAAACTGAACAGAAGAACCCCAAAGATCCTAAGAAGAATGTCTGAATATGTGTGAGAATTTATGGATATGTGTGAGAATTTCTGGATATGGAGCAGGGTTCTGTTTTTAAGGGACAATCCTTTGTCAGTGAGGTGAATGCACAGACACCGGGCCAGATCTGGGTACTTTATTTTTATCTCCTGATTGTTTTATTTTATTAAACTTTTAAATTCTATAAAAATGATGTGAAGCTCGTTTTTCACATCACACTGTGTGTGGAGTTTGGAGTTCCCCACTGAGGAACTGCAGGGTTACAAATACATGGAAATATAAAAGGTAAAATCCTGAGGCATCAGTCTGGGAGGGCTGGGGGATCCCTGGGCCCTTCCCTGGGGGATCCAGGAGCTGGCAGTGGCTCCTGGCAGTGGAATTTCAGCTCCTTCCTCATAAGAACTTGTTACCCGTGCCAAGAGGCACGAACTGCTCATCACCTGGGATGCTGAGAGCTGTAATTGCTGCTGAGAGGAGACAGTGACAGCCATTTATCCCAAAAAAGAATCCAGTGCTCCTGAATGAAGTGTTCAGCTGAGGAATGAATGGCACCTCTGAGAGGGGAGCAGCAGAAAAGTCAGCTGAGGAGGTGAAACAAAGGATGGCAGCCAAGGAATGGCAGCCACAGGGAGCTCCAGGTCCTGCTCCCCAGCGTGGGAGGGTTCTCACTGACATGGCATGCTCTGCTCCTGCTTCTGCAGGAGGAATTTCTTCCCAGCTCCAGGGGCTAACAGGCAAAAGTGGGGTCTCCACTGTTCCCCCAGAATAATACCGATAAAAAATGGAATTAAACTTCAAATGGAAAGCTTTGTGTCTTGCCAAGCTTTACAGACAATCAGATGTGCCTTCAGCTGGGCTTGAGTTGAATTCCCCTCATTTTTAACGGGTGAGGAGGTTTCTTTGAGGGAGAAAGTGAAAGGCATAGAAAGGAGTCATATTTGATTTGCAAGTGTTGTCCTGGATACTTCAATAATTCCAGGAACAAGAATAAGAAAATATGAAATAGGAGAGCTCTCCCAAGCAAACAAAAACACACCAAGAAGTTTCTTTTCAAACACCAGTGTGTTTGCATCTGAAATTCTGTTTGGCTCCATCAGGCTGACAGATCCTTACCCATCGCTTCAGCTCATGTTTCCCTCTTGCCCTTTTGATGGAGGAACTCTACCATAAATATTTCACTGGCTTGTGTCCCAGCCCAATGGCTTTCAAGGGGACTCTTTGATTTGTTTGGTTTATTTTCCTCCAGCTCTGCAGGAGCTAAAGGCTGTTCCTTGGCCTGTGTCTGCACTGCTGACAGCTGGGGAAAAGGGCCAGGAGATGTGAAGGGAAAAGCAATGCAGGTGCCCAGATGTACTCTCAGAACAGATTTAGGCTCCTCAGGTCATTTCTGTGCCCAAGCCTGCTAAAAGCCCTCTGTCACTCACTGCCTTCCCCCTGTGAATCCCAGCTGCTCCTCTGGAGGACTGGCAGGAGCAGGGGAGGATTTGTCCTTTCCCAGGCTCCAGGACTGCCAGGATTGTCTGGGCTCAGGGCCTTGGCTTCCCCCTCCATGAGGGAACAACCTCAGGCTGTACCAGGGAAGGTTCAGGACACACTGGGAAAGATTTCTTTGCCCAAATTGTTGTGGGGTGGAGCCCCCATCCCTGAGGGATTTAAAGCCCTGTGCAGGTGGCACTTGGGGACACGGGCAGTGCTGGCCCTGGCACTGCTGGGGATGGGTGGGCTCGGTGATCTCAGAGGGCTTTTCCAGCCTGACCAATTCTCTGATTCCAGAATCTGCAGTGGGAATCAGAGCCCTGGGGATGTCTGGGGTGGGCACTGAGGTCCCTGGATTAAACTCCCCTGGGGAGCTGTGCTTGGCCACTCTCACTCCCCCAGGGAATTCCCTTTGCTGGGAATTCCTGTTCAGGGCAGGAAAGGAAGGGACAGCGTCCTCCCCCCATCTCCACCTTCCAGAGCAGGCCAGGCTCAGCCACAGGGCAGGGATCATGCCAGGGTCTGGGACAGAATCAAGGTCCTGCAACAGCCTCAAACACAGCTGAGCTGCTGTGGAAGAGGCAGCACCCAAACCTGGTGCACCCCAGCCATGGCAGGGACAGCTCCCACTGTCCCAGGAGCTCCAGCCCCAGTGTCCAGCCTGGCCTTGGGCACTGCCAGGGATCCAGGGACAGCCCCAGCTGCTCTGGGCACCTGTGCCAGCCCTGCCCACCCTGCCAGGAACAATTCCTGCCCAATATTTCAAATGCACTCTGGCCTCACTCAGAGTATTTCAAACTGCAATGCTCTCCTGACATCCTTTGCCATCCACACTTTTCCAGCCTCTTTGTGCTGCTGCCTCTCGTGCCAAACCTGTGGTGCCCGTGGCAGCAGTGCCAGCAGTGCCCAGGCTGCCCAGGAGCTGAGCTCTGAGCTCTGAGCTCCGTGCAGGGAGCCTGTCCTGCTGCTGCCCTGTGCAGGAACACTCCTGTGCTGTTCATTGCCAAACCTCCCTGCAATTCGTTGCTCATTATTTCTGTTTGCTCCCCTAATTGAGGATGCTTTGTGTTGTCTCTGCTGCTTTCATGGCTCTCACTCTTCCCCCAGCCCGGCCTCTGCTGCTTTTCCTCTCTGCTGCCGCTCCCCCATCTCCTCCTCCCCCAGCATTTTCTGTTTTCTCTCCTGGGGGGCTCCTTTCCAGCTAAACGCTGCCATTTCCACAACACCAATTTTTTTTCCACATCTACATCTCTTTTCTTTGTTGTTGTTGTTTTGTTCTTTTGATTGCTTTCTCCCCAACTGCTCCTTAAAAACTCCTTGCATTTCTGGTTCCTGAGTGTGCAGAAATTGCCCAATCTCCTCCGGTTTGCACTTGGGTTTGCATTTACAGAAATCACCCGGAGGTTTGGGTTGTTTTATCCCAGTTGCTGATGTTTCAGATCAAGAACCTTGGACATGGAACAGGAGGGTGTTCAGAGGGCCAAATGTGTCACCCTTCTCCAGACTCTGGATGTGACAGCTGGAGATGGAGCCCGGGATTCTAAAGCACAGGGAGAGCTTGGAAAGCATCCCGAAAAGTGCCGCTGTAAAACCCCAGCTGTGCCAGCCTTGCTGTCCAGGGAAGTCCTGGAGAGTCAGCACCATGTCACTGTCACTCTGCTCCTGGCTGGAGCAGCTCCACACGGCTCCACACGGCTCCACACGGCTCCACACGGCTCCACACGGCTCCACAGACCTCCACAGAGCTCCACAGAGCTCCACATGGCTCCACACGGCTCCACAGAGCTCCACACGGCTCCACAGAGCTCCACACGGCTCCACAGAGCTCCACACGGCTCCACACGGCTCCACACGGCTCCACACGGCTCCACACGGCTCCACAGAGCTCCACACGGCTCCACACGGCTCCACACGGCTCCACAGAGCTCCACACGGCTCCACAGAGNGCCGCCAGGACCAGCCTTTCGCCTTCTCCCCGCTGCACCCCGAGCCCCGCGAGGCGGCCTGGGGCGGCCTGGAGAGGGCCCAGCAGAGGGACGAGCACAGGTTCATCCCGTCCCCTCCCAGCCTGGCCCTGCAGGAAGAGCTCAAGGTGTCCACCAAGGCCGTGACCCTCAGCAACCACCTGGGCAGGGCCAGGATGGAGGAGAGCGCCCGCCTGGAGGGCAAACCCACGCAGGCCGCGGCTCCTCTGGGCTTCTCCTCGGAGCTGGCCAAGGACAAAGCGCCCGAGGACGCCAGGAAGGAGGACAAGAAGGCCAAGGGAGGCTTCTTCCACCACGGGGGAGCCCGGAGCGACACGGGGGGCAAAGGCCAGGGGGACAGAGGGACCCCCGTCCACGCCTCGGCTGCGGGGGATGACGGGAGTAAGAACAGCGGCTGGTTTGGGTCCAAGGAGCCCAAAGAGTCACCCCAGAAAGCCAGGTCAGTGCAAGGGGGTGTGGAGGTCCAGGCTGCTGATTCCTGCCCCAAATTCCCCTGGTCGGAGCTCCTGGATGCTCCTGGGAGTGCTCAGGCAAGGTCAGAGCAGGGAAAATCCTTCCTTGCTGTTAAATGTCTCCAAGGGAAGGGGATTTTCCTGGATCCTCCCCTGGCTTCTGCCAGGAACCACCTCTGTGTTTTCCTCTCGGGGAAGGGAGGGATCCCCTCCGTGGAGAGGTTTCCCTCAGCAGGGATGAGGCTCAGTGTGGTCACACCAAGAGGTTCTGTGGCCTGAAAAGGAAGGATCGTTATCCTTTAATGAGCTGAAAAAGCTTCCCTGGCATTCAGGCTGGGGCGTGGGATATTGGGATGTGTAATCACATTCTCGTTGTGAACCCCACACCCCCCTGCAGGCTCTGGTCGGGGTGCAGCACTTTGGTTACATGAGATGTCATTAATATTCCCAAAGTAATTAATCCCAACCCTGCTCTTTGCTCTTCCCATCCCACCCAGCCTCCCCTTCTCCCAGTTATCAATCTCTAACTGTTCTTGCTTTGTGTGATGATTCATCCCTCCAAATCCTGGGGTTTTTGTGGTGTTTGTGCTGTTCCTGAGAGGAATTTGTCACCCCTGGAGCCCCTGGAGCTGAGCTGGCAGTCCAGAGGTCGAGGGTGTTGTCAGTGAGAGGCAGGAAATGGGGTTAAAATCAGCCAGGGAAAACAAGCAGCACTCGGAGCTGCTTCAGTCTGCAGCCTTGCTTTATCTTGGTTTATTTTAGAGGGATTTTCTGATCTGGGCTGACTTTAACCTAATTTATGAAGCAGCAGGATTTGAGTTCAGTCTGAGCCTCCTGTAATGAGGAGGGCACTCCTGGTTTATTCCACATCACCCGGCTCCCACATGGATTTAACATCCCTCAGCCTGGCTCCAGAACCAGCCCCAAAATTCCTGCTTTCCACAGGAAGGTGTGATGCTCGTGGTGACCTTGGGGCTGCAGGGCTGGGGACACTGGGACAGGCAGGAGCTGCTCCCCTGGCTCGGGAATATCGGGAATATCGGGAATGTCCATCACTGGGAAGGATGTGGGAGCTCTGTCCTGTTCCAGCAGCAGGAGGGACAAGTGTGAGGTCTGGGGGCTGCTGTGGTGCATCCCTGTGGATGGTTCTGGAATTCCCTATCCCTGGGAGTGTCCAAGGGTGGGTTGGACGGGGCTGGGAGCACCCTGGGGTGGTGGAAGGTGCCTGTCCATGGCAGGGGTGGAATGGGATGAGCTTTAAGGTCCCTTCCAACCCAAACCATGCTGTGATTCCGTGATTCCCAGGAGTGGTTTGGTGTCACATCCCAGGGCAGGATTTGTGGATGGGCCTGGAGGACTCCGGTCTCTGCATCCTGTCCTTGAGGAAGGACAGAGTGTTCCCACCCAGGATCATTCTTTTTGTTTTTCTTTCTAATTCTGGGATAAGAAACTTGCTGGTTAAGGCCTAGGATGAAAAATAAAGGCTTAAAAGTCCTGCTGTATCCAGGCAGTGACCCCACAAGTGCCTGAGGCAGCCAGGGAAGCACTGTGGGGATGGGATGGGATGGGATCCATGGGATGGGATGGGATGGGATGGGATGGGATGGGATGGGATGGGATGGAGCTGCCCTCAGCATCTCTCTCTGGGGCCTTTTCCTTGGGAAATGGGTGAGAAACCAGCAGTTTTCCCCTCCTGGCAGTCCTGGGAAGGAGGCAGGCAGGGCCATGCCTGCCCAGCTCCTCTGGCAGACGCTGCTTTTGAGGCAGGAATGTCTGACCCAGCTGGAATTGGGTTCCTTGTCCATCCAAGCCAGTGGATAATGACCAGGAGTGTCCCTAAACACTGCTGGTTTCTGACAGCCCCCTGCCTTCCTGCACTCACCCCCAGCACTGCTCCTTTCCCAGAGGGTTTCCAGTCCCTGGGTTGTTTTTAAATCCACTTCAGTGCTCCCAGTTTAATCTCAAGCTCAGCCAGAGCCGAGCTTTGCTTTGTGTGTCTGGGGAGGAGAGACTCGGAGTAGCTGCAGCTCCTCTGCTGGGGATTTTCTCTCCCAAAACCAGGAATGGATTCCAAGCAGCACGAGCTGGGGGGGAGGAATTCCCAGAACCCCCTTTTGGGGCATTTAGGAACATCTGAGTGGGCTTTAAGTGCAGTTTGCAATTAAGAATGGGAAATAATGAGCTGAAACAGGAGCAGGGGGGATTGGGAGCAGGAACTGGGAGAAGTGGCTCCTTGAGGATGGGGAAATGCTGGACCTGCCTGGCTGGGAAGGGATTTCTCTCTCCTGGTGGCCAGGGATTTGGCACTGGGATAGTTGAGAGCCTCTGGGGAGCGTTGCAGGAATCACAGGGACAGGGTTTGTCTCTGCCCTGGTTTTCCAAGTGCTTCAGTTTTCCTTCAGGCCGTTCATTAGGACATCATTACTCATTTTAATGATACAGAACCGACTTCTCTGATGTTATTTTGCTTCCTTACACTGAGTGACCTCGTGGACCAAGCTGGTGATTCAGTCAAAGCTGTGGAAGAGCTTTTAGGTCTTGGTGGCTTCAGAGTGCCAGAGGGCAGGGTCAGATGGGATGTTGGGAAGGAATTCCTGGCTGGGAGGGTGCAAGGCCCTGGCACAGGTGCCCAGAGCAGCTGGGGCTGCCCCTGGATCCCTGGCAGTGCCCAAGGCCAGGCTGGACACTGGGGCTGGAGCTCCTGGGACAGTGGGAGCTGTCCCTGCCATGGCTGGGGTGGCACTGGGGGGGGATTTGGGGTCCCTCCAACCCAAACCATTCCAGATCCTCTGATCTCTGGGGGTTCTCTGATATCCCTCTGTGGCTGTTCAGTGGCAGTGTCACTTCCAGAGCTGGATTAACCCTTGCTCTGGAGAGAGGCAGCCTCCAAACTGAGCAGTTTTGAGTCTTAATTTATTTGCAGAAAGGAATTTTTCCCTCCTGCTCTCCTGACTCTGGAAACTTCAGCTTTGTGAACAGCACCTTCTCACCTGTTTGCCCACCTTGGATAGGCCAAGTTTAACCCAGAGCTGAAGGTGGTGAGAAAGCATCAAAATCAACCCCTTAGCAAGCCCAGCAAGCTCAGGCTGTAATTAGTTAAAAGGTCTGTAATTAGAAGGAAGGTCTGAGTTTGCCTGCAGCAAGGCCCAGCCTGGCACAGCTCATCTTTCCCCACTGGCTCTGCCAAACACACCCTTCCCAAAATAAGGAGCTGCTGCCTTTGGGCTGGGTTTAGCTGGAGCTTTATAAAAAGGGTTTTGTTGTGGACTGGGTGGGCTTGGCTGAGCCATCAGTGTGGGAGCTGGCTCTCACTGCAGGCAGCTGGGCACTGCTGCCTTCAGCCCTTACTGACACCCCCGATTCTTCTCAGGGAAGCAGGTCCCAAAGGCTCTGCTCCTCATCCTGGGCTTTGCTAATCCCTGAGAGCTCCAGGCTTTGATTCTGGAGGGGATGGAGCAGTAGGAAGATGGTGTTTGCTCTTTGGAGGCTGAATAAAAGCCTGAATAAAAGCCTGGTCGGGGGTTGTTGTTTTGAAGGTCAGTGGTTAAGGGTTGTGTGTAAGGAAGAGGCTCAGCAGGTTTATTTGAGGCAAAGCCTGGGGCTAAAACAATCCTTTAAATGTTTCCAGGGTTTCCTCCAATGTTATCAGAGCTCTGCAGCTCCTGCTTCCTGTGGAGAATCCTGATGATAAAACGGGGCTGCATCTCAGGCCTGGCAACAGAAGAAAAAGGAAATTGTGCTCTGTCCTATAAAAACAGGGCCATCAGTTCCATTTGCAGGCTCAAGCCCCTTCCCAGAGTCCAAACCCTTGGATCCAGCAGTGAGGCCAGATCTTGACTCAGCTCCTCCCTGTTCCTCCTGTCCTCCTGACATGGGCCTTTCCGAAGTGCTGGGAGTGGGAGGAAGGTTTGGAATGGCTGGAGCAGAGTCCTTGGCCAGGCTGGCAGGGGTGGGATGGAGCCTGGATGTTGTGGCAGCCCCTCCAAAGCCAACAGAACTCCTGGAGCAGAGCCTGGGAAGCTGCAGAGCTGGAGGAAAGGGGAGAGGAAGGCCATGATGTGACACCAGGGTGTTGTGGATGAGTCCATGGGAGCCCCCAGGATCACAGCCCTGGCACTGGGATTGTGTCCAGGACAGTGCAGCCCTGCCTTGGAGCACCCCAGGGATGGAGTGAGGAGCCTGCAGGGCTGGAAATGGCTCTTGGTGCTGCTGAGCCTGCGCTTGCAGGGATGGGCACGAGGCAGGATGGGCAGCTGGAGCCACAGCTGGCTCCTGATGGGCTTTGGAACCCTCCAGGAAAAGCACAGCCCCACCTCCACTCCTAAAAGTGGGAATTGGGGGTTGAAGTTTGCATCTCTCCCTGGGTTCCCACTGCCCAGATTTCTCCTTTTTTTTTTAAGTTCCCAGAGTTTTGAGGGCAAATGTCTGTAAAGGAAGAATTGTCCATTTGAATGGGGATGATGGACAAGTGAGGCCCAAGGGAAGAGCAAAGTGGTTGTTGCACAGATAATTATTACAGATAATTTATAGATCATTACAGGTGATTTATTACAGAGAAATCCAGTCCTTCCACCTCTGCAATTCCTATTTAAAATACATCTAAAATATGTCCTTCCCTCTGGTGCTCCCACCCTGAACAAAAATGTCCTGGGCTGCTGTTCCCATCTCTTCCCACCCCCTTCCTGCACAATTCCTGCTGTGCCAGCCCTGCTGATGGCGGTGGGAGGAAATTCCTGATCCCTGCCAGGTGTGCAGCTGCTGCAGGATGCTCCAGCACCTCCATCCTGCTGCTTTTCCACCCAAGTGAGCCCCAGCTCTGGGAAAACGGGGCCAAAAGCAGCTTGGGAGTGGCAGCACACGGATCCAGCCCTCCTCCATCCCTCCTAGCAGGGATTTTCCACTTGAGCTTCAGCACATCGGGGCTGGATTCATCCCTGCCCTTCCCAAACTCCGTGTGCTGTTTCCTCCTGGTGGTGCAGAGTCCCCC